ATAGTCCCTTATGGTTAGTGGCATCACTGATCTACCTCAGAGATGGAAAAGTGGTGATAAGGAGTCTAAATACAACTTGTCATTGTGTTTAGTTTAAAAAAGAAAAAAAAGGAGTGGAGTTACTGCATTTATAAACTGGGAGACTGCACATTAAAATCCTGACTTCTATTTTTAAAAAGGGAGATCTAGTAGCCCATGATCCACATACCCCATGGTAACAATGACTAGAGCTGAGATGCCTCCCTTCAGAAGGATCACGTGCCTGCCAGCTCACCATAGTCCTTTCCCATTCCTTATTTTCTGATACTCTTACCTGCCTAGCCATGTGAAAAGTTGTCTGGAATCCATACTTATCTAATCAACCCAAGCTAAAGCCTGAGCATTATCCCTGGCTTTGCCCTTTCTCTCACACACACATTCAATCAGAAAGTTCTACTTATCTTTAAACATTTCTGAAAACTTTTAGCTTTCCAATTCACTCTGTTATTCAGGCTAATAATTTGTTAATCCTAAAACATATATACACACACATACATACCAGTTGCTGTCAAGTCAATTTCGACCATGGTGACCCCATGTGTGTTAGATTAGAACTGTTCTCCATAAGGCTTTCAACAATTTTTTTTTTTTTGAGATAGCCAGGCCTTTCTTCCAAGGCACCTCAGGGTAGACTCAAGCCTCCAACCTTTTGATTAGCAGTGGAGCACGTTTTTTGCAATCTGATTTTAGTATTTTCCGTAGTTTCATTTAGATTTTGGTTAATATGCACTTGTCTGTTTCCCCAATTACAATGCAAAAGCAGTACTTCATTTATATTTTTATTCTCCGATGAGGCTAACATAGTATGATGGGTATTTAGTAGGTCCCAAATAAATAACTGTGGAATTCACTCATGTATATAACAATTCGTAAATCAATTTTAAAATGAAATGCAGGGAAGATATGATTATATAACACATACCACTAGATCAAATATATCTACTGAAGTGCCACATTTGATAAGTTAGTCTCACTCACCTATGATTTAGGAAAAAAGAAAGTTTCTTGTACATAATATTACAGATGTTTATATCACAAAGTTAACATAAAAATTTTTATTTTTGTTATACTGTTTTAGAAGCATACAATATCACTGCATTCAAGACCATCTCATTCAGCTTCCTATCCATTTCATCGTCCCTAACAGAATCGTTGCTATGAGTCAGAATCAACTCGATGGCAATGGGTTTGGTTTTTTGGTTTTAATAGAAGTGTCTGCTTGGGCACGTCAAAGGTCTGTTAATAGTTAAGTAGACTTCTGGCCAGGCCAGCTTTAGTTCTTACCAAATGTTTCCTTATACTGAGCTTAAATCAGTCTTCTCATAACTTCTACACATTAATTCTAGCCCTGTAATTTATATTAATAAGGTTTCTACCCCAAGGAAATTTATAATTAGAACCATAGTCTTCTAAACGCAAACTGCACCCTCTTCTCTACAAGTTCAAACAAAATGGGAGAAAGAATATTGGATTTATAGGAGAAAAGATTTTATTGTTTACTCTGCCTCAGCTGAAGCAATACACATGGGTTTCAGTGGGCTGTAGATAAAGTGTGTTAGAAAGACAATAGATAAAGGCTAGCAGGCAAATGCAGTGGTGAGATACCAAGCAGGGAGGTGCCTGTAAAAATAAAGGCTCTAGCCAGATAGCTGTGCTTACTGGACAACCTAACCCCTCACGGGCCACATCACAACAGAGACTTCGATACTTCCATATCCTCCTCCTTAAGATGACTGTTCCAGGCTGTACTTAGTTTCCAGCTAGAGGACATTAACAGTTGACCATTTTCTCATTCTTTCTACTCCATGTAAATTGAGCCCATGAAAACTCTCAGCAGGTTCAATGCATTTCAGATACATTCAAACACAAACCAGAATTAGAAAATAGGAAACAAACAGAACACCATGAGCTAAAGGATGGAATCACTACTTGCATAATGAACAGCCCCTGCCATCTGGGCAAGGCTTTCTTCATATATTACTTGCTTATCAAGGAGTGTTGCAACATGGTTCTACAGATCAAAGAGGCAGCCTTGGAGAGTTACTGTGGAGCACATAGTATTTGCTGAACACTGTTGTTCCAGCCTTGGAGAACAGATCTAAGGACTAAAAAGTATTGTTACATCACTACTGCCTCAGAAAATCCAAAGGTAGGTTTTCAAGAGGCTGCATTCATTGGCTTCTGGGCAGTCTTTAAAAATGATATTGTTTAGCCACAGCAAGTATACAGTACCGGATTCCTAGTAGGTGATACTGAAGGTGAGAAAGTTAACAATCACTCAATTTAAAAAATCCACAGTGTTATGATTCTGATTTTTATTTTTTGATTTCTATCATTGTTATCATTTATACGAACAACTGCAACTCCCACCTCCCAATGTGCCTGCCTGCCCTGCTCATGGCTCTACAAAAGGGAAGACATGAAGCCTACACGTTAGGAGATTCTGACCTGTCTCAAGATAAAATAGAAACACACTTCCTTTCTAATATTACTATTGTTTCTTCTGCTTAGAAACAAGTACGCATACTAAGAAATGTCCTGCTTCTCATTAAACATGCCCAGTTTATTTGTGAAGAAGAGTTTCTGCAAAATAATCTGACCGTCTATCAATGTTTACAGTGACCATCAACAAAACCCAGACAATACTGCATATGTCCCATGCTAGACCCAACTGGGCTAATTGTAACGGGACCATGTGGAAAAATTCTAAGCACAGCTGGTCTCCAAATTAGGAAGAGCTTACATTAGCCCGGATAATGTACAAATTACCCTGGAAGTTACAATCCACTCCCTACCCCCACTCTAGAAAAAAATTTTTAAAAAAGGTAAATATGTAAGGATTACATTCCTAGATTAGGCTACCAAGAAATAAAAAAAGTATAAAATAATCATAATGACAGTAAGAAAAGCAAATGCTTATAAAATTGTTTACTATGTGCAAGGCACTATTTAAGCACTTATACTTAAACCTCGTAACAATCTTATAAGGTAGGTACTGTTACTATTCTTATTTTACAGAAGAGGAAACTAAAACGGAGACTAAGCAACTTGATCAAGGTCACAAAGCTGATCTGTGCCAGCGCTGGTTCCTAACATGGGTAACTCTTAACTACACTAGATAAAATGAAAATTGTTTTTAAAGCTCTTTTAAAACGCATCCTTTCTGGATGATGTTCCTTTCCCTCGTCTCCCTGTTCCCAGCAGCCTGAAGTAGACACTTGCCTACATTTACCTGACACCGTACAGCCAACCCCAACCTGAAACCATTGCTCTATTTCTGTGCTATCCAAAATGGTAGCAACAAGCCAAATGTGGCTATTTAAATATAATTAATTAAAAGTAAGTACTATGAAAAATTCATTTATTCAGTCATATTATGCACACTTCAAATGCCCAATTGCCATATGTGGCCAGTGGCTAGCATACTGGAGACAGTAGACAGAAACATTTCCATCTTTATAAGAAAATTCTATTCAATCACTGTTGTCTGACAAACTTCCCTGGAAAGGGGCAGATAGGAAATATTTTAGGCTTTGTGGGCCATACAGTCTTGGCTGCAATTCTTCAACTCCACCATCGTAGTTCAAAAGCAACTGTAAACAACACAGAAACAAATGAACATAGCTGTGTTCTAAAAAAAAATTTATTTACAAAAACAGACAACTGTCCCGCAGCCTGTAGTTTGCTGACCCCCATTCTAGATGGCTCTGGATTTTTCACTTGGATTTTCCCTTAATTTTTGATCTCCCATTCCTCTGTAATCTTTTCCCCAATCAACAGAGAAAAGAATTGCAGTAGAACTGCAGCATCTCGCTGTGCTCCCTGAGAGAAACGTGTCTCATGGAACTCCCCTGTCTTTTTTTTCTTTCTTAATCTCTTTCCCTTTACAAGCGCAACTGTACATCCTCTAACCCAGTAGTTCTTATGAAGCTTAAAATACAGATTTTTGGACACTATTCCCAAAAATGATTTAGTGGGTCTGAGGTGGAGCCCAGCAATCTGCATGTTAAATGACCCTCCTGGTGATGCTAATCCTGGTGGTCCATGGACCACAGTATGCAAAACACTCCCAGCCTTTTAAAGACTAGGTGGGAGAAGGGACGGGGAGGTAGGTGGTAAGTTCACCTCTAGTGGTTGTAATCCCCAAACCACAGAGAGACAGTTCTTGCTTAGCCCCAGCAGCCTCAGCAAAGTTCAAGTGACAAAGGATAGATGAGGGTACAACTGAAGCCTCAAGTGGGTCCAGCAGGAAAGACCTCTGGGTAGAAGGAAGCCTCAGGGAGTGATGTCTGCCTGGACTGGAAGGCAGGGCAGAAATAAAAAAGGCTTTTCAAAAGGCCCTCAGGAACTGACATGATCTCCCCCACTGCCCCCCATACTCCCAGCATGTGGAGCCTGGTGTTACTGGAGCCCAGAGGCAGCACAAAGAATACTCAAGAACCCTTCTTTCTTTGCATTCTTTTTCTCTAGCTTTAAAAATTCATTCATTCATTATTAGCTGTGATGTTGCACAAGTTCTTAGCACCTCAGTTTCCTCATAAAATGAAATGGCATAAAAGGATGCTTGGGAAAATCTAATGAATTAATATTTGCAAAGCACTTAGAACACTGCTGGCAGAGTAAGTGCTATATAAGGGTTTATAAACAAATAATATCATTTGACATTTAATAAGCACCTCCTTCCTATGTGCCAGGCACAGTGTTGATACTAACAATACAGAAATAAACAGAACTTTAAAGGAGATGGAAATTAAAATATTGTGGTATATGCCATAAAAGAAAAAAAGGGTAGGAAAGGAAGAAGGGAAAGGAACGACGTGCTGTACAGACACAGAGAAAGGAATAACTGCCTGTGTGGGGTAATGCTAATACCTTCTTTTAACCCATTGAACGGCTCCCCTTTTTACTTAAAGCCCTACAAAATATGCCCACCCTCTGACCCCCTCCTTCTCTGAACTCACCTCTTCCCTTCTGTCCCCATCACTCACTCCACTAAGACACACAGGCCTTCCTCAACAACACAGCAGCCATAAGACATCTGCACTTATTGTTTCCTCTGGCCGGATGCTTCTTCTGTTATCCCACATGACTTGCACCCTCATTTTCTTCAAACGTCTCTGTTTAAGTGTCACCTCATCAGAAAGGCCTTCCTTGGCCACCTAACACCCTCTTTTCCCATTGTTCTCCTTATCATGCTTTATTTTTCTTATTAGCATTTATTACAGGACATTTAATAGGTATCCATAGAATGTATGCTTATTATCAGTATCTACCCACTAAGATATACCAAATGATTAATAACTATTTATAAAATGAATAAATGAATGCTTAATGGACATTTAATGGACACTTAATATATTACAATACTTAGTAAAGGTTGTGTAATCAAATGTTTTATTAGATTCTATTACTTTTAATCATGTGCATATTTTAAAACTGTTGTTGTTAGGTGTCAACGGGTTGATTCTGACTCATAGCCACCTTATGATGTACAATAGAATGAAATGCTGCCCAGTCCTGCACCATCCTCACAATTGTCGCTATGTCTGAGCCCACTGCTGCATTCACTGTGTCAGTCCATCTCGTTGAGGATCTTCCTCTTTTTTCATTGATCCTCTATTTTCCAAGCATAATGACCTTCTCCAGGGATTGGTCCGTCTTGATAACAAGCCCAATATAAGTGAGACAGTCTTGCCATCCTCACTTCTAAGGAGCATTCTGGCTGTACTTCTTCCAAGACAGATTTGTTTGTTCTTCTGGCAGTCCATGGTATATTCAATATTCTTCGTATACACCACAATTCAAAGGCGTCAATTCTTCCTCAGTCTTCCTTATTGTCCAGCTTTTGCATGCATATGAGGCGATGGAAAATACCATGGCTTGAGTCAAGAATTTTCAAACTAAATTCCTCCATATTAGACAAAAAGCAACACCAACATCTAAACGTCAAAAGGGCACTTGTATTTCATACCAAGTTCAAACGATTCTAACAGGCTACTTATAGAAAATAACCCTGGTATCTAACTTCATTTAGGTATGTTACCTATCCTCATAATATTCTTGAGGAGTAAGGATGGGACAGACATTTCCCTCACAAAATAAGAGAAAAGGCCCAGAGAGGTTGCCTTGTCCACACACATGCAGATCAACAACAGAGCTGGAAATACGAACACCTTTCCCCTCTCACAAGCTCTGCTGAATCATTAGGGCCCAGTCATTCAAATTTCACTTATGGGATATTTCTACTATAGAATAATAGAACTAAGAATTAAATGGATACAGGAATAAACATGCTTACCAACCAATTCATCTAGCCTCTCCTACCAACCTCTTAACATCTTATGACTATTGCTTAAGGCATTATTTGTACTTTCATCTATGAATAGCAATTATACCCTTTAAATGCTACCTTCTGGCTACAAGTCAAATTAAACACCTACAATTCATTTTATCTGTATACTTCATCCTGCCAGATGACACCGACATAGTATGTCATGCTGAGTGGAGCAGACAGCAGGATCGATAGACAAATGGCAACATGTGGCGCCAATCATCACTAAGAACAATCATCACTAAGAACAGATTTTTTTTTTAAGGTGATACAGTATACTGAAGTATAACAGTAGTCCTCATTACTCCTGATATAATGAGACACAATCAAGTATAGCAACTCTCTCAATAAAGAAAACACAGTTTCTTACTTCTAAGGGAAAACATATTCACAGAAACTTAAGAGCTTAAAGATCAGCTAGTCCAACCCATCTCATCACACACGGGAAAACTGAGGCCCAAAGAAGTTCCAAGTCCAAAGCCACACAAGGTAGTTCCTGGCAGAGTCTGAGCTAAAACCCAAGTCTCCTGCCTCCCAATCCAGGGCTCTACACTTACGAGCTTGATAATCTGTATGTTGTTGTTAGGTGTGGCCGAAATCGATTTCGACCCGTACGGTTTTCTTGGCTGTAAATCTTCATGGGAGCAGGTTGCCAGGTCTTTCTTCTGCAGAGCCAACGGGTGGGTTCAAATCGCCAATCTTTCAGTTAGCAGCTGAGTGCTTAACCATTTGTGTCTCCAGAGCTCCTTTATAATCCATATAAAGGATTCAAAAAGAGAGAAAAGGTTCCAGACTTTCCTCCTACTGTGTGGCCTTTCTCATCATGATCTTGTAACTCCCACACAAGTGATTGGGTGGAACTGCGCAAATAACGTACTTGTGGCCCACCAAGAGGATTGGTCAGTTTTGCCATCCTGCTAGGCTTAAAATGAGCAATCCCAGAGAGGGGAAAGAGAAGATCTCACCAACACCAAGGAAGAAGAGCCAGGAGCGAAACACATCCTTTGGACCCGGGATCCCTGTGCTGAGAAGCTCCTGGAACCAGGAGACAGACAGAGAGAGAGCACTGTAATACTGAAGACAGTGAGAAGGGGTGGCAGAGAAACAGCAGCAGAACTAGGAGACTAGTAAGAGACAGTGTGGTGGGCTTCCCAGCCCACAGATGGAGAAAGCTGAGCGACTTAGGGCAGGAGGTTTCCTGGTGGAGTAGGGTGCCTCTGGGCACTTGGAGCTACAGCAGTAGATTACAGGAGGAGTGGGGGTGCCTCTGGGCACTTATAAGCAGAGCTAGAAGAGCTTTGTAATACTTGCCTGAGCAGGGCAGAGGCGGAGAGGCCAGAGAGAGACACGCCTGGGAAAGGCTGGGAAGAGGCTGTCCTGGTGGAAGAACTGTATCCTGAGCGTTTCTGAACCTGAATTGCAACCTGTTACTTCCCTAATAAAGCCCATAATCCTGAGTATGGTCTGTGAGTTCTGTGTGGCCACTGCAATGTTATTATCGAACCCAGCACAGAAATAGAGAGTGCCATGGGAGGGATGGTTGGTGTCAGAATTGGAAGAGATGGTGGAGACAGGTGGCAAGTCTGACCTCTGCCTCACAGGAAGCAGCCTTGGGCTGTTGATCTTGATCCTCCTCCCCTCCTTGTGAAGTTAGAGGAGGTCAGATGTCACCTTCACGTCATTTTTATAGTAATCTTTTCAGTTTTACGTAGAAGACAATTAGTCATTAAACAAAGTACTCATGGGCTGTTTCACTGTAAGTGCTCCATAAATATTCGTGTGAACCAAATCTGGATATGACTTATCCCCCTAAGAAGCGGCATGCTTAATAATACTTAAGACTATCCCATTTGTGATTTTTGGTTTCCATAGTGATAAACAACATTTACTGCTACATGTGGTCTGGTTTACATTTATGAGCAATCACTTCCTGATGAATGGCAACTCCCACAAGATATAATTTTCCAAATATTTCAGACAGCTGATGAAGGAAAAAAAAACATTCTGCACAGAAAAGATTAATAACTGATTAGGTCATTCAGCATTGAAAGGTACTCCAAATCTGTTATGATATAGCTGATCCTCTGCCCTTATACATTTGTTTTAGGAACATCAGAGGAAACAAGTGGGCTTCATTAACAAAATTAACAGACAGGATTACAAAGATTAGGATTGTGAGAATCATGCCATGATTTGATTTAACAGTCTAAATCAAGTTAGTTTTCAATCCTACACAACGATGACAAAGACGCATTTCATATTTTACTTCTTTTTATCTGCAGAAGGGCCCCGTTTCATGAATATAGTAACAATCTTCCTTTACTGTGTCCTTTATCTGCTCCACAGCATATTTGGAATTTAAAATACTGTCAGTCCATTCTGGACATAAACACAGAGCTGTGTACGAAGAAGAAGGAGCCACGGAAAGGAAGCCACGAGTGTCAATAAATCATCTAGTCTCTTACCGCCTCCAGTTGACTTTTGTGTGGCATAGGTTCAGTGTTTCTGTAAGAACTAAACTTTTAAAAAAAATGTTCAAGGTAGGTAGGTCATTAAAAGTACAAGAGGAACCTAAAAAGGGTCTATATTTAACTACACATTTAGAAATACTTTTTCCCTAGCATCCTCTTCCTTGAAAACTGTAACTCAGAAACTGATTTTGATCTCTTTCCTATTTTGCAATTTTGTGTTGACAGTTTTGAGGGGTTGCTGGATTAGAAAAAAAGAGTTCAAATATGTTTCAAAGAAGACAGGCTGAATTATTAGTATCTTGATGTTCCCTGGATCTCTAGATCTCTCCCCTATACAATTACAGAAGGCTGTATACACTGTTCCTAAGAACATTGCAATAAAATTGCCTTTGTGAGAACACAACAACTGTTCACATTCTGGACAGAATAAGTAAATTTTTTTGCACGAGAAACACGGTTGTAAAATAGTATAAAAATCAATCTCTATTCACTAGACGAAACTCCTAGACTAGCGTCCTGAGATAATCTTTAAACTTGGAACTCAAACCCTCCCAGAAGTCACCTTTCAGCCAAATGACAGATTGGCCTATAAAATAATGTCACCTGTGAGTCCTGTGCTCCTCAAAATAATCATCTAGATGAAACCAAATGGTTAACATTTACCCTAGACCAAAGATGAGAAGGCGGGGGCGGGGGGCAGGGAAGCTAGATTAACAGAAACAGAACAACCAAAATGGAAATAATGAGAATGCTGATATATTGTGAAGAATGTAACCAATGTTACTGAATAATATGTATAACCAAACCAAACTACTGCCGTCGAGCTGATTCCAACTCTTAGCGACCCCATAGGGTTTCCAAGGCTGTAAATCTCTATGGAAGCAGACTGCCACATCCTTCTCCTGAAGAGAGTAGTTTCAAACCGCCGACTTTTCGGTTTGCAGTCGACTGCTTTAACCACTGTGCAACCAGGGCTCCTTGAACAATATGTATAGAAATTGTTAAATGAGAACCTAATTTCCTGTGCAAACTTTCCACTAAAAACACAATAAAATATTTAAAAAACAAAAACCAATCTTTATTCAACGTCGGTCACAAACTGTTGCCACTAAAAATTCCCAACATTCCATCCCAATTTTAACTCTACACTGATCCTCTCCCAAACTTGTTAAAATTAAATAAAATACTGTTAGTTAAAAGTTAAACCTCTTAACAAGCAAAAATTAAGAAAACTAAAGACGCAAAGGAAAGATTAGAACAAAGGACTAATAGACCACAACTACCATGGCCTCCACCAGACTGAGTCCAGTACAACTAGATGGTGCCCGGCTACCACCACTGTACTGCTCTGACAGGGATCACAATAGAGGGTCCCGGACAGAGCTGGAGAAAAATGTAGAACAAAATTCTAACTCACAATAAGACTAGACTTACTGGCCTGACAGAGACTGCAGAAATCCTGAGAGTATGACCCCAGATACCCTTTTAGCTCAGTAATGAAGTCACTCCAGAGGTTCACCTTTTAGCCAAAGATTAGACAGGCCCATAAAACAAAACAAGACTAAAGCGGCACACCAGTCTAGGGGCAAGGACTAGAAGGCAGGAGGGGACAGGAAAGCTGGTAATGGGGAACTGAAGGTGGAGAAGGGAGAGTACTGACATGTCATGGGGTTGTTAACCAATGGTATACAACAATATATGTATTAACTGTTTAATGAGAAGTGAGTTTGTTCTGTAAACCTCCATTAAAGTACAATTAAGAAAAAAAAAAAGTTAAACCTCCTAAAATATTCATTCATGCAAGTATTAAACAAGCATTATTAAGTACTTAAGGTCCCTGGGAGCTACAAACTGTTTGCGCTTGACTACTAACTAAAAGGTTAGAGGTTCGAACCCACCTAGCAGCACCTCAGAAGAAAGGCTAGGCAATCTACCTCTTTAAAGATTTACAGCCAAGAAAACCCTATGGAGTTCAGTTCTACTCTGTAACACACGGGGTCGTCAT